GTTCTGTTTTTCTTACCAAAAATCTTCCCACATAGAGTTTTCATAGCTGTTTTATTGAGGATTTTCTTGGCCCTCAATTTGATAACTCGGTCACTTAACTGTCAAAGCCTTTTACATTGTGATGTTCTATTGTCAATTCAGTTTGTATTTTCGGATTGTCCTCCTGTATTTTTCAGTTTTGATTATCATGTGGAATCTGATTGTTCTTACTTGCAGGGGTCTATAAAAACAATGGTTACCTTATGGTTTCTTGCAATGGAGGACTCAACCAAATGCGAGCAGCAGTGAGTTGCTAGTTCTTTTTATTATAATGGAAATTTGTTACGAATTTTGCTTTCCATTTGGGTTTCATATTATTTTCTGTTGGTGTGTTCATGTACTGCTATCTCTCATTCACTTCCTCATCTGCTGTTCAGATCTGTGACATGGTAGCCATTGCCAGATACCTGAATGTCACTCTTATTGTTCCAGAATTGGATAAAACCTCATTTTGGGCTGATACAAGGTGGGTTTTATTTATTATGTGGTAAACAATCTAAGTAGTAGCGGGAATCTATCAGCTTGACTACCCTAAATTCTGAATTAGCGCTGTACATAAGTGTTTACAACGTTTTTTTTTCCATGTGGCAGTGAGTTTAATGACATATTTGATGTTGATCATTTCATTGCATCCTTGAGGGATGAAGTTCGTATATTGAAAGAGCTGCCGCCGAGGGTCAAGAGAAGAGTTGAGTTGGGAAGGTTCTACTCATTGCCACCCATTAGTTGGTCTGACATTTCCTATTATAGTCATCAGGTTGGTTTGCTATTTCATAGAGCTAGAAATGGCCATTTAGCTTCACATTTACCAGTTTTATAGCCAGTACTGCAACTAACCACCTGAAATGTTTGTAAACAGATTCTTCCTCTGATACAAAAGTATAAAGTTGTACATTTGAATAAAACCGATGCTCGACTGGCTAATAATGGGCTGCCTTTAGAGATCCAGAAGTTACGTTGTAAAGTAAATTATAGTGCTCTGAGATTCACTTCCCAGATAGAGGAATTGGGTAGAAAAGTCGTCAGGATTCTGAAGCAAAGTGGCCCTTTCCTGGTCCTCCATCTCAGATATGAGATGGATATGTTGGCTTTCTCTGGTTGCACTCAAGGCTGCAACAGTGCAGAGGTGGAGGAATTGACAAAAATGAGGTAACTTTGCTTTTCTTCAGGAAACAAATCCTTAATCTATTCTTCTTTTCCGCAATATCATCCTATTACTGACTCGGGAAAAGCACACACCACTAGATATGCTTACCCTTGGTGGAAGGAAAAAGTCATAGATTCTGATCTCAAAAGGAAAGAAGGTTTGTGTCCCTTGAACCCTGAAGAAACTGCTGTAATACTAAGTGCACTGGGTATTGATCGCAACATTCAAATCTATATTGCTGCTGGTGAAATATATGGGGGAGGAAGAAGAATGGCAAGTTTGGTGGCTGCATTCCCAAATTTGGTGAGTAACTGGAAGCAGATTTGACTTCTTGACATTTTTCGTTACATACTGTAAGATTTTGCTTTAACGTTTTGAACAGGTCAGAAAGGAGACATTGCTGGAGCCCTCAGATATAAGGTTCTTTGAAAACCATTCATCCCAGATGGCTGCACTGGATTATCTTGTGTCCTTGGAGAGTGATATATTTGTTCCTACATATTATGGAAACATGGCTAAAGTTGTTGAAGGCCATCGGAGGTAATAATTAATAAGTTGCTACTGATGGTTGAAAATGTTAATTTTCCGACTAATTGGTTTAGCTAGATTTTTTCCCTCCTTTATTTCTTTTCTTCTCTATGCATAAAAAGGGTAAAAAAGATCTGAGTTATACCTACAGCATTTACTCCTGCAGCCACGCCTTTTCTGAAGTTGAATTGGAGGATTCAATTGCGCATATTTGAGCATTTAATTTGTTAGTACTGGTTTGATTTGATATAACTTACTTTGGGTTGACAGAGTTGGTGTGGAGGACTTCATTTCCTTGCCTTGAAAATTAATTATTCCATTATGATTGTGTTGGTGTGTTTAAATTCTTGCAGGTATTTAGGATTCAAGAAGACTTTTCAATTGGACAGAAAGTTTCTAGTTGATGCGATCGACCAGTACCATGATCATTTGTTGAGCTGGGATGAGTTTTCCTCCATCGTGAAGGTAGCTCATGCTGATCGTTTGGGGAGCCCAAAAAACCGAGTTGTGATTTTGGATAGACCAAAAGAAGAAGATTACTTCTATGCCAACCCGCAGGAGTGCTTGCCAGCGTTGGATGAATCATTGAGAATTACATGATCCCCATTGTTGCTAGTATGTCGGGTTATCTTTTATCATACACTGCTTGTGTAAGTTAATCTCCCAGTGATCTTCTACATGTAGATTTTGGATTGGAGAAGATACATTCTACCTCAGAAATTATGTTGGGGAGGCTGTACCAGGATGTTCTTTCGAAGAGGGCGACATTATCCACATACATTCTTTTACAGTTTTTTGGATAATTGGATTGATTTATAGAAAGAGTGAAACCCTGGTATTGCAGGGTACTATCATATTAGCTGAGATGTAAACAAAAGGCTGCTAATACTAATTCTTTCCAGCCGGAGGTTTTAGGATGACTAAACATCCACAATTTCCATGGCCTGAAGTTTTTGTTATTGTCAGTTATGTTCCTAAGAATTTCACATGTGTTTATATGTATGTTTTTCTTCTGATAAGTAAAAGCTTGTATTGATGTTCATGTTCTATGATGCCAAATGCATCTGTTCTCAGCAACAAAGGTAAAAATGACAATGAATAGTTATCGTAAGTTTTCTTGTTTCTCATTAATCTCAGAGAAAATTACACCAGCACCCCCTGAGGTTTAATGAAAATACATTATACCACTTGGGTTTTAACAATTGCAAAGAACCTTCATCGTTTAAGGTTAAACTTACAATCAACCTCAACATGTCATTTCACTTACCAACCAAAACTCAACTACAGATCTCTGGGTTTCAAATCCCCACCAAGAAAATCACATCTAACACATGATATACAATAATGGCATGATAAGTTTAAACACAGAGAAAGAGAGACGGGGTTGGGGCCATTGGATCGAGGGTGAGGGCCACTATTGGGGTATGGCTCTCAAGGGGGTGGGGTATGAGTGGTTTCAAGGAAAGGGTGTGGTGGCAATGAGGGGTGTTGGATGAGAGTTTTTTTTTTTTTTTTGAGGGCTAGAGCGGTTTGGGGGTGCAGGAAGAACTGAGGGGGAGAGGTACGAAACCTCGAGGGGGTCTCAATGTTATTTACTCTACATTTTATAAGTGACAAGAGAATGTATAACCCTTTGTTTCCACCGAATATTCATAATAACTCATCATTCTTCCAGATGATAGGAATTGCCCAAAACTTCTCGCAGCTCATTTTTCCTAAAATGGACTCCTTCAATGCCATTGCCATGAGTCTTGCTTGGCATGATCCGATCAAAGAAAAAGAAGATTGTTGTGTTCTGAGACACGTATCAACATTACAAGTGTGAAGCACCTAACCACCGTCAATCATTATCCAAACACTCCTCATTTCTTCCCAATATTCTAAAAACGGGAATTAACGCAACAGTAAAATTATTTCATTGTCATGTCAACCTCACATATTCAAGTCACAGATACAGTCTCTCTAAATTCAAAAGATCATCAATATTTGACCTGTCTAAAACTTCTAGTGACAAAAGGCACATGCACTATGCTACTAATGCAAAACATACTATGTAATGCCATTGATTAGTTAGTTACATATTCTCTTTCATCATCTACTAGTTGTCTTTTACATAACTAGAAATAATTCTGCCATGTACAATGTATTTTGTCAACCACATACCTCATGTCATATCCTATGATAGGTATCTCACACCAGCCATTTTGTTTGCTTTGGCAGCACGAAGTCACATGATGCCGTCTCATTCTCAGTAGTTAGAATACACATATTCCACTTGTATTAATCATTGAGCTGTCTTTGTACTACTTTTTTATTTTTCATTCTGTGATACATGGTATATGCTTTTGTTGATACATATCATACCCAAAGAACAAAGAAATTTTTCATTTTTTATTCCATTGATCTGTCAAAACATATTTTGCTATTTAATACATTTTTTAGAGAGAGAGAGGGAGGGAGGTGGTTATTACTTATTATTAGTGATTACTATCATAGAAAAGTCATTATTTATTCAAGAAAAAAAAAATTCTAACAATTGGTAAGATCAGATAAGTCTTATAGTATTAATCCTCAATTCAAAGTTGAAATTCCTGGATAGCTGCGATAAATCCGACTCACCCCATTTTTCCATTCGGACCCCATTCCAATGAAAGACCCTATCCTATTAGGGACTCGCAACTCTCAGGTCTAATACTCTAAATCAAATTATTTATGCAAGAAAAATCCTAAATCACAGTGGAAAAGCCATGAGTCTCATGCCCAACAGGTTCAAATGTTCTGGTGTTTCGTTAGCTAAATAGAAATGAAAGCTTTCGAAACTGAACAAATTATTTTCAGGTCAGTTGATCCAACCGCTGAACAACAAAACCACTCATTTTCCTAAAAATACCCAAACATGGTAATTAAAAAATAGAAACCACCGTGATTATGAATGTATTGCATGGTTTACAACTTGTTAAAGATAAAAATAAAAGATTTAGCGATCAAGCGAGGCCAGAATTGAGTGGATGATCTAGGATTTAATTCCTGATAGAAAGACCTAGAGAGATGCTCTTGAAGTGAAAGACTAATGTTTCACTTTCATACATACAATGGAAAATCAAGGAGAAGAGAAGGTATGAGGAGCAGGGCCGATCCTTCACATCGTCTAACTAAGCAAGAAGGTAAGAGTGAAGGAATATAATCAGCTTTGCTTGATTTTAGCAGTAACATACTATACAGTGATGGAAATCAAACAACCAATGTTTGAATACAAATAAAAATGTTTTTTGTAGCACATAAAGATGGTTGTTAGAGAAAGAATGCAGAAATTTGTGGAAAACTTAGCCAAAACAAGAAAACAGGGCCAAAAAAGCCAACTTCTGAATTGAATGACCTCCAGAAAACAAGAGCAGCTTCTCAATATTTGCATGGAAGCCTCTATCGAAAATAAAAAGAACAATGAAAATATATAACAGCTTCTGCTTTGAGAAGTCAGGCATCTGAACAAATCAAAACGCATAAACATGTACAATTAGTCCTGACAGAGGCGTCTGTGGACTATGGCATGGCATAAATACCCCGATCCTTTCCCAAGGAAAAAAAAACAGACAAAGGAAATGTAGAATGACAAGGAAGAATATGGAAAAATTATCAAGGGACCAATGATGCCATACTAGCCTTTTTCTGTTCTGAGCCTTTTAGGAGCTCGACTTGATTCCTCATTGCTTTCAAACCCATAGTGCGCCATTGCTAGAGTGTTAGGAGAAGGGTTTTCATGGTCCTGAATGTTCAGAAATTAGAAACTTGTAAGCCACGCCACTGAAGACGCCCTAGAAAAGGCCTTTCAACCAAAGGTTAAAAGGGGAGGGAAAATCTAAACTATTTGTACAAAGTTATTTGCACATATGGAACATCATTCGCATTTGAGAAAGAGTACAGTCCAAAGGGAATAGTTTGACCCAAAATCACTAAAAGGCCCTTCAAACACACAGCAAAACTTATCTAGTAGATATCATATGAATATATACAATATTTTTGTTCAAACCCCCCCCCCCCAACAAAAAAAAAGGGGGGGGGGTTTGATTTGGAGGAGATTGATTGAGTCTAAAACAAGCCGTATGTTTAAAATGAAACCAATCTTCATGGTAATAGTAGTGGTAAATATGATTTCATATGTACAATACAGAAAGACTGAAAGCAGTAGAAAAACAAAGCGCAATTTGGAAGGGAAAGGATATCTCAAACCTTTTTGCTGAATGTTGTAGCTGTCAGTCCAGTATTTGTTTGTTTCCCAATATCAAGTTGCACAGATATGCTGGTCTGTGATAAATCTACCCCTGAAGACTGCAGTGCATGGCTTAGGGTATTCACCAACCTGTTCAACATTAAAACTATTATGTAACAGCATATAGAATGTCCAGTATCAAGAGAAACTAGCTGCACGAAATTACAGTACAATACTAAAAGTATAGTCAGTGTTGTTGGCAAAAAAGAATCACAAAAGGTTGTCCATACTTTTCGCATGCATACAACTTGGTATAAAAATGCAAGGCTCAAAAGCATTCGAGAAGTGAACGAAATAAATTGGTCAATTATCAAGCCACCAAGTAGATTACAAAACCATAACAGCTATCACTGCAGCAAGTAAAAATCCAAACAATTTTTGTACATACAAGCAAACATGAATTTCTGGAAAGAACTTCAAAAAGGGGAAGCCCAAACCTCACTAGATCTCATTTCCCAAGTATTAAGAATATACAATGCTTACCTGGAGAGCACCTTCCCCTTTCTACTGATTCAAGATAGTAATCAAACAATAGGAGAGCATAGCTCTTCTGACCTTTATATTGAAAGCAAACTGGATGTTTTTGTAAACATACAAGCATAATCAAAACATGCATTTCACCACTTGTTAATATATTACTGGTACAGTAGCAAACCACAAAACTCACCAGATGCGGAACATGTGTACAAGAAGCACAAAAATATGGAAGTTCACATGAAGCGGGAATTAGAGTATGTCTCATGAGCTTAAATTCAAATCTATCTTCATTGATTTAAGCTTAGCTTTAATAGATTGTAATTCAGTCTTTTCTAAAACTGCTAAAATGGGCCTCCTTTTGGGTCCATGAGTCCTAATTCTGGTCTAATAGCAGTGTTCAGGTTTTATTTCTATTTGTGCAAGTGTTTAGATTATTCAATATGTGCCAAGATAATAAGAAATATCAAACGTGCTGTTCTTCTCACATCCCTAAGACAAACAAACACTCTCTTTCAGCCCCTAAACCTATCTTTTTCTGCTGCCCAATATAAGGTTTGCTACCTATTCACACTTGTCCAACGTAAACTGAAAAGATTCTCCAATCTAAATATCCTGGATGCTAGATCAAGATTTAAAAATCCCATAATTCAGTACTTCAAAACTCCAAGTTCATTGTAATCATAAATGGATGATCATGCATAGCATGCGCAAAAGTAGGACAACTCTGGGATTTTTCTTGAACAGGTTTTAGTGCATTCTCACAAAGCACAAAATCAAACTACATTCATGTTTGTCATTTGTTGTTCAGTACGTCTAATAAGCCGCTGGAAATTTTTAACTAAGTGTTATTAATTTTAGGAGTCAAAGGGTAATCATTTGGTCTCTTCTATAATTGCTAGAATGGGATTAAGTTAGGGTCCACAGGGTCTTAATTTGGGACCAATTACATTATAGGTGTATTACTTGGACTCGGTGAAGTTCCCAGAACAGTTTATGGTTCAAAGAGTCATTAGTTCCCTAATTACAGTGTCATAGCCCAAATAGGAGTAAGAGAATTCAGTTCAGCAACCTATATATACTTACGTATCCTTGATAGAATGAGACTTGATTTGAGTTTTGGCAATTGGAGATAAATTTTGAAACTTTTCTGTGAGGCTTTATGTGCAGACTTCCCTTATAGATGTTATTCCTAGACAACTCTAAGTGGGATTCCTACAAGCTATTCCTTCTTCCTTCTCTTCTTCTTTTCTACCCTTTTACACGAGATCAAGCACAGGAACCTACATCTTTCAACCACAAGAACACTCTAACCCGTGAAGCCAAAGCTTTCCCCCATCAATAATCAACCCATGGTTTGTGGGAGAGCATTCTATACACTTATCCTACATCACCACTAAACAAGTTTTGCAAATAGCAACGGATACAAACAAGTAAGCAAACAAATCTAAGCGCAATCAGAAATTGAATGGCCAAACTTCGTTGTTCATGGAATGACAATTATCAGAAACTTCAATGCAGATGCTAACCCTTGGGACCAGGCATTTGAGATGGTAGCTTCTCCACTTTCCGATTTCAGCTCTTCCTGCTCATTTGGAGCATAGCTTGGAACAGCACAATCAGTTGTACATGGTCTACCCTGCCAAAGATGGGATCGGGACTCCGAAGCCAGATGCTCAGCATCACATAAAGATCTCTGAGGAGATTGGGCAGGAACAGCATCAAACAAATTTGGTTGCAATGGCATATTAAAGGGAATTGCTTGGGTCACTGCCCCAGAGGAATGATCTATTGCTTTATATGCAGCAGCCCCACCAAAATCAGATTCTAACGAGTTCTGAGCATTAGTGAGCAATGCCGGGTTGATAGCAGTATTATCCTCATGACCAGAATCATTCTTCATGAGTTGAGATTGATCAATGAAGCTATCTGCGGGCCCGCTAGTGTTTCTCTGTTTTCAAACAGATGGGGAGATCAGCATAACATTTTCTTCTACAAAAAGCAACAATAAAACAATAGGACCAGAATATTACAGCTCCTGTTTAAGATCAAAGAACCTTCATTATATACGAAAGAACCATGGCCATACTATTAATCCTTCTGCTCAATTAACCAAATATGTGTAATTCATTCCAAAAACCGACAATCAAAATTCCTTGCATATTTCGAAAAGAAAAACAAACATACAAACAAAGAGACTGACCAAAAAAGGCACCATATAAACATTTTTCAAACACATATCACTTCATTCACACAATCATTGGTTCACACCGATCAACAAGTATAAATGCAAAGTATGTGGGCAAACGAGAATGAACCCGCCTTATCACCCTATGCATGCAAGTACAGACACTCTACAGCCCAAGTGTCCACAAATATGGAATGCTGAAAAATGAAACAAGGGGAAAATGCAAAATTGGGAAAATTTATAGTACACTATAAATAACCCCACCAACCACAGGACAAAGAGAGAGCTAACAAGTCACAGCAAATATCTTCACTATGACAAGCATTGTTACACCTTTAATAACACATGGCTAGTATTACATTGCATGAGATATGTGTTATCAAAGAAAATAACATGGAAGGCACCAAACTCATTGTATTCGCAGGTGAAAAGCAGCATACAAATACAAGAAAAAGGGAAAACAAATAATGTTGCAAAGAAGACGTGACAAATAATACGCTTAGGACCAAAACCGGTGCTCATCTCTGAACAAAAAAAAAAAACAAACACACTAAGTCTTAAAGAGACAAACTTCAATGCCACCTAAAATACCATGCCAAAGCAATCAATAGCTCTGAATCAAAAGAAAACCACCCAGACACATACCCACGGCATCAATTTTGAGGGCTCCGGACTCCAACCTTGGTATGTTCCCTCATACATCTGCATCTTCTCCTGTAAAAACTGGATGTACTGTATAACCTGCATGTAGCATTAATACTCCTGAACTTATGTTTGAAGTACATAATATTTGGAGATAAAAAGTTCAACAAACAGATTGTGAAGTACATAGCACTACAACAATAACAACGTAAGGTATTAAAAGGAAATGGCATGCCTCCAATAAGAATGAAGCTTTGTCCCTCTTCAGATCATTTTGAGGTATGAGGTCTCTCAATATCTGAAATCTGCATTAATCTTATTTTATCAGCTCGTTGCATAACAATATTCATTGAAAGTGTATCAGAAACGAAGAAGATATATATAAACAAATGCTCAAAAATAGTTGGTATGTGATAGCTTTAATTCTTTTTTGACTTCCATACAAATTCTCATGCGTATTTATACTCACCTTGTAGAGAGTCAATTGCACGGTATATTCATTCAACTCCATGCAATAAAGCGAGCAAAATATTTAGGTTGATTATAAAAATCCTGCTTTACATTTCATCCAAACTTTTCCAACAAATTAAGTGCCAATAAACTTTTATGACTACTGAAACTAACATCCCTTCAGCTTTTACTTCTTGAATTTTTGCACAAACAGCAATCTTCATATCAAAATTTCTGTCATTGAATCTCCAATTAATGCAATCTTCAATTTGTTTTTCTTTCATTTTTCTGTTACATAATAAGTGCAATGGGTATTTTAGCTACGAGCCTAGCAAAAGAAAATTTGGGATAGGATCTTATAGGAGCTCCCTCCGATCAAAAATTGTTTTCCTTTTGTCTGTGATTTTTCCGGCCCCGGGGGAGTTTACTCGACCCATTCCCCAATCTCCCACACTGCTCAAGTAAATGTAAAAAGGGTGCAACCTACCTACACATGATGTATACCCAACACAGAGGAACTTTACCACATTCAGCAATTTAACCACTGCACTGCTATTGTTTCCACAAGTTCAAATTTTACTTTAAAATGACATAGGCAACATATTAAACTGCTAACATCTGTGGAATCGTGCATAACATAGTAAACATACTATACATATGACTCTCTGAAATTGAGATCATTAACCTTCAATAATACAGACAGTGTTCAGGAGCAGATAAAACATTAGAAAAACTTGCTAAGAGCATAAATTAACCACCTCTTACCTCTCACTAAAGTCTTCCAAACCTAAACCATAACAAATACATTCAAATTCAAACTCATGTTCAAATTTCCAGACGCACCCTCTTCTGTAATGTACAACTGATTTCCTAAGGGCACACGGAAACGCCCACTCCAATAGTGTGTTTCCAATACTTTGGGACAATGGCTTCCCATCAAAAGTGAACACCATGCCGCTGGGAAAAATCCCTCTCCACCAAACTGAAACTAAATTTCAGAAAAGGGGAAACAAACACTTCCAATATCTCGGCATTTTGATTTCCTCTCAGCAAATAAAATCACAGTCCACATGCCAGAAAGGACTAAACACAATGTTGAAGCATACAGAAATTTCCAAGAAAGAAGCAAGCCCCATGTGCCCCATCTATAATCTATATTATAAAAAAACAAGCAACCCTACTATAGTAGTGTGCAGTCATTATCCAAATAGTAAGATTTTTACAAATTAGCAAGTATTTTTACTAAGCCAAACTATGCTTGCCTCTCGTTAATCTTGCTCCTCCTACGATGCTCTGTCTCCGAATGCTTCGACCTAAGCACGTTCGCCTTCTGATCACCGTTCTTCCCATCTACTTTCACTTTCGATTACAACAATTTAACAAGATTAGACAAAATACAGATACATGTAAATATATATCCGTAGAGAAAGAGGGAGAAAGTAAGGGAAACCAGAGCAGGCAGCAATGCTGTACCTTTATGAGAAGAGCTATCGGGAGTCCTCGAAACGAACTCGTCATCATCATCTTCTTCCACTTCCGAGTGACTTTTCACAGTTCTCACCATTCCTCCCTAAACACCAATTCTTTAACCTTAATCACCTGCAAATTCCAAACACATACATGGTTGATAAACGTACCGATTATATATAAACAAACGCAACAATACTCAAACACACACATACATATACAGAGTGAAACTGACGGAGGATAGAGAGAGAGAGAGAGAGAGAGAAAGGTGTGAGTAGTAGTCGCAGAAATAGGCCGGCGATGGAAAGCTCCGTCCAGTACGCAACCGTCTCCGAGGGGTCTGGAGAAATAGAAATAGAAATAGAATAGTTCTGTGCGTGTACGGACACACAAGCCCTAGGCAACGCCTACCTGGACTAATAAATTCGACAGTGGCATATGTTAATGTGCGCGTGATTGTTTGACGGTCCGTACCCTCAGCCTTCTCAATTTAATTGGTCCATGATAATATATAGGGGTGTCAATCACACAATAGGTTAACACGGTATAAATTGAATATGAAATTTATGGGCTATATACGAAATTAAACGGGTTAATAAGTTAAAATAGGTCAACAACGAGTTAATAGGCTAAAATAGGTCAACAAGTTTAAACACAAAAAAAAAATTCATATCAGGAACTCGACTCAATTTACCGTAGACCTGTTTATAGCAGTATAATTTTTTTATTATGTATGACTGATATGGTTTTAACATCATTGCTTATTAGTTCTTGCTTCTACTATGATAATTAGCAATATAGTTCATAACATTATTATGACAGTATACTAATATAGTTCTTACTTTAATTTTTAAGATAATGAGATGTTAGTACCTTTTTGAAAACTTATTTGGCTTTAAATACTACCTCTAAACTTATCCTCTTTTAAGTCTTTTTTTTTTATCAAATAATTGTCAATAAATAAATATTTTCAAATTTTTTCTAAAATATATTTTATAATTATCTCTACCATAAATAGTGCATATCTAATTGACAACTTTTATATTTTCAATATCTAAATATTAAAATGTGAGACTTTCAAGATTTCTTTTGATTTTTGTGTATCATTTGAATTTTGAAATTTCATATATATATATATATACACACACACACACATATATAGTAATATTAAACAATAGCACGTTCAAAAAAAAATAGTAATATCAAATAGTAACACGCTCAACAAAAAAATAGTAATATCAAACAATAGTTTAGTTGTCATTCTTTACTAACACTGTTTGGGCACTATCAAAGGGGCATTACATGATGTCATTGATTGGACCCTCATTGTCATTATCTCGTGTTTCTCTTTAGTGACATTATTTGCATGACAATTTTTTGAATTCCTCTTTAGGTACAATTTTTTGAGTGGACAAATATATATGTTACTATATATATATATATGAAATTTTCAAAATTCAAATGATGCACAAATATTAGAAGAAATCTTGAAATTCTCACTTTCTAATCTTGAAAATCGCACATTCAATTAGGTATGCACTATTTATGGAATGAGTAAAAAGGCATTTATGGCTTTTTTTTAGTAAATGTACTTCTATCCCAATAATTTTAAAAAGTGTACTTTTATTCTATTAAGTTTTTAGGGAGGTACCGGCCTCCCTAAATGCAATTTAGTTAATTTCATTGATGAGATGTGATATGTTATTTGTAAAAAAATTATTTGAAATTTTGGATGAATGATTGAATGATGTATTTAATGGCAATGAACAGGTGTAGAAACAAGTTATGTGTGTTAAATAGGTATGTGTTATGTGTACTAAACAGGTCAAAATACCATGTGTGCTAACCTAAAAACGATCTGTGTATTAAATATGTCATGTTCGGGTAACTCGTTTAATAGCTTAGTCAAGTTAATGTTTACACATCTCGATACGATTATTAAACATGTCAGATTCAAGTTATGGAATTTTTGACATAAACTTAAAATCAACCCGACACGAAATGATCTAACTCGACACATTTAACACCCATAAATTAATATACGTTGGATCCGAACCAAATCCGAATTAATATCTATTACGGGTATTTTGGTTTTTGTTTTATGGGCTCGTGAGATTGGAGTGACCCCTGACCAAAAAAAAGATGAATTTTTTGGAAATCGGTACATTTTTTATAATTTATTTTATTTTAAGTATAAATTTAAAAAATATTTGACAAAAAATTCACTTTGAAGCAAAAGGACCAAAATACTCCTAACATTATCACATCACTATTGAAAAAACTAAATAAGGAAACTATTTTAGAGTTTTCTTATATTAAAATTCTTTCTCTCTCTCTCTCACACACACACATATCTTCTATATAATAAAATAGAGTTAAATTTGAATTTTGGAGATAAAGAAAGATCCAGATTGTTTTGAGACAAAACATAAACACATCCAATAGACAGCGTAATTCCAATATAAAATATGGTTCATATCATCTCATAAATATTAAATTCGATGATCTACAGTGAATAGTGAATTTTGTTTTCCCGTCTAATAACATTTCTTGACTCATGCCTCTCTCTCCTCCAAAATCTCTCAAATCTTACCCAATCTCACTTCTGCCTTTCTCACACCTCTGTCCCAGATTCATTAATGGAAATCTTTTTCCCGCTCACCAGTTTCTATGTTTAATTCCCCTAAAATCACGCTCAAATCTCCTCTCTTTCTCCAGATCTCCTTTCTAAATTATTCCTCTCTCAAGTCATCAATGTTATCAACGTTCATATATTGATCTTCCCATGACGCATCTTCTAACTTCTCTCTCCTCCTCTCTTCCCCAAAATACTCCCCCATTTCTTCATTTCCTATGCTCTCAAACCACTTTCTTTCATCTCTTTGATCGAGACACTACCTACTACCAGCGACGTTGCCAACCCATTGACGCCATCCACCAGGCATCCCTCTCTCTGCCTCTCTCTCTGTCTATCTATCTCTCACTTGCCTTCAATTTAATGTTGTATATAATTCGGATCTGGTTGTTTAATTTTGATTTATACTTATTTCTTTTTAACCATTGCTTCTGTTGTAATTTCTTGTAGTTGTTTCTAACAATTACATTTTGTGCACAACCAAAAACATCATCATTTTTATTGACTTTTTTGCATTCGAGTTGTTTGATAATGTGTAACTGATGGTGTTTTGCCTTATTTTTTGAATTTCTCATTCATTGACTTTAGAAATGTTTGGCTTAAATAAGCATGAGCAATTGCATAATTGCGCCCTCCATCACTAACGCCCTCGAAATGGTTCGTCGACGAACTCAAGTCCCGAAAGGAAGCCAAATTAGATCTTTGTAGTTGTGGCCCTCCAAGACCAAAGTAAGGCTTCTCATTTTGTATTAAAAGTCTACGGTATTGTCACGCTCACCAGTTGTTCGACCAAATGTCTCAAATGACCAATCATATGGACCTCCTTCATCTAAGCCTACTATGCTCACTCTAACATCTCCCTCATGGCCTTCTGACGCTTCTCACAGTACGATTATGCAATGAACATAGATAATATATGGTTTGGAATTGAACTCATCAACATTGTGAAAGTATTCATGCGGCTTGGTGAGTGAAACAAATAAACCAACACTGACAAAAGGGAGGTTGTCTTGGTCATTGGAAAGCTATGTTTTTATGTGTTAAAGACCATAATGAAGTCAGCACCATTAACACCCTTCAGCGACTGCCACGCCAACGACATCAAGTATCTGTTCCTTCCCTCACTATCTACTTATCCCCTTGCCTCTCTCTTTTTCAATTTCCTGTAGCCCCTATCACCATCCACATTCTATTCGTATGCACATAAATTGTTTATAGAAATGTCTTAGATAAAGAGTTTTCCTTGCTCGAATTACTAATATAAGGTGACTTTTATCCATAATTTATTTGGAAACTACCTATATCTATCATATGTGCTTTTGATGGATATTTAATATGTGAAATATTTGTAATTGTTTGATTGTAGTTTTTGATAAAGTAGGGAAACTTTGCTTTTCACATTGTTGGTTATTATATCTTTACTAACTTATGCCCATTGGTTTTTTTTTATTGCAGTTGGAAATTTCAAATCCTTGCAATGAGCTTTTCCTTGTTTATTTGTACAATCTCATGGAAACTTCGAATTTGTTTTTTCTTAGGTGTAAATTGTTTATATATCTTTCTCTATTTGTTTCATCAATAACCATGAGGAAAAAAAAAAAGAGAGATTCGAATTGCTCGTGCTTGAAGGCACTATATAAACCCAACAAATATCATTAAGAATTTTGATACATATAAATATATTTATATGTATATATATATATATGAAGTCAATGTCTCACTGCTTGTCAAATACATATGCAGAGTTGGGTCATTGTGGACATTATAATGTGACATCATGTCCGTTGTATCCATACAACATATGCAGGTTTTGGCACATGAAAAATATCATAGTGTGACCTAAGGATTGACACACTGTGGGCATCACATATGTGGCATTAATGTCACACTGCATATAGACACCATATACGGGATTTGCACATGGATGGTATCACACTGTGACTCCAATGTAACACTTCATACACATCACATAAAGATTCAAAAACACATGGTGAATATCGCAATATGAATCTAATGTCACAATGTAACTATACATCATATGCATTGTTTTTCATGGTTTGGGCATTAAAAGTGTGACTTCAATGCCACACAGCAAAACAAACATCATAGAGGTCATTTGGTTTGTGTTTTTGTTTCGTATTTTTTATTTTTCTTTTCAATTTTTGAGAAAAATAAAAACAAAAACATGTTTGGATTTATGCTTTTGTTTTATAAAAAATAAGTTATTTTTGGAAACAAGGGACCAAAAAAAAGATGTTCCAAGAAATAAGGGAAACAGAGACAACACGCGCAAGGACCGAGGAAAATTAATGAGATCCAAGCTTCAACTCTTCTTAGCAGCAAAACATATATTTTTTTTGTTGAAGTATAAAAATCCATTTCATTCTCTCTCCTTTTCTGTGCAACGAGACTCTCTCTCACTTCATTCTCCATCGTCTCTCTCTTAATTCTTTGTCTGTGCAACAAGACTCGTCAGAGCTCTTTCTTGCCTCTCTCTCTATAATGAAGATCAAAGGTCTCTCTCCTCTGTCTATGCAACGAAGACCCAAAGGTTTGTCTCTGCCACTCTCTTTCCTGAGCTAGATTTGTTAGATCTAAGTTAGATTTGTTAGATCTGAGTTAGATTTTGTGTGTATGTGTCTATGTGTGTGTGTGTGTCGATTTGTGGGTGTGTGGGTGTGAGTCTATGTGTGTGTGGGTGTGGGTGTGGATGTCGATTTGTGGGGTTGTGTGTGTGAGTCTCTGTGTGTGTATGTTTGTCATAAATTCTTCT